TGCCGTGCGGCACCTTCACCTTCCAGTGTGAGGACCGAAGCTGCGTGCGGAAACCCAACCCGCAGTGTGACGGGCAGCTGGACTGCAGGGACGGGTCGGATGAGCAGGACTGCGGTGAGCCTGGCAGCGGGCCTGGGCAGATGGGCAGGTGGTCGCGGAGTCCCTGGGCTCCTCACAGGAAGCCCCAGTCCATCGCCTTCTGGCCATCCCTGGCCTGCCTTCTCCCCGCAGACTGTGGCCTCCAGGGTCCCTCGGGCCGCATCGTGGGAGGGGCCGCGTCCTCCGAGGGGGAGTGGCCGTGGCAGGCCAGCCTCCAGGTCCGGGGCCGGCACATCTGCGGGGGCGCCCTCATCCATGACCGCTGGGTGATCACAGCTGCCCACTGCTTCCAGGAAGACAGGTGAGCGGGGCGCCGGTGTCCGGCCACACCCGATAGGGGAGGGAACGAGGAAGGGGGGGTGTCAGTGTGTCTGGGGTTTGAGCCCGGCAGGGAGGCAGGGTGTCCCCTTGGGGACTGCTTTCGGGGGTCAGTCGCGGCTCCGCGGACACACTCTGCTCCACCTCTCTGCGCCCAACATTGGGTCCCTTTGCTGGGTCAGAGGTCCATTCATTCATTCATTCATTCACTGGTTGTTTCCCCGCTAGTGCCAGAGAGGACTTTGGCAGGAACACAACTGCTCGGCCTGGTGGAAGGCCAAGACCCACGCCTCCAAGTGTGCCTCAGTGTGTGTGTGTGTGTGCGCGTATGTGTACACGGGGTGGTCCCAGAGAAATTTCAGGAGGAGACCACGCACCCAGTTATTTAGCGCTTCCGGGGGCGGGGCCCGTGACCACGCCCCCTCGCAGCGCCCAGCCAATCACCTGGGCTCCGCCCCGCCCCTCCCTCCGCCCCTGGCCCGGCTCCACCTCCTCTCCCCTCCGGTGCGCCTGGACGTGGCCACTGCCCAGCTAACACTGCTGGGTGCCCCCGACGCCCGTTCGGGCACTGCCACCCCGCACCGAGCCTGGCATCGGGGGCTTGGCGGGGCCGCAGCCCACCCTCCCCGGCCCACGGGGTCGCAGCAGGCTCGCGTGCAGAGGCTTTTTCGGCGAGAGGGTCTGGCCCTGCTGGGCGCCCAGTCTGACCGAGCTCTGCACAGAGGGTCTGGGGGGACCCATCGCGCAGACGGACGCGGCCAGGAGGCGTCCCGGGGCTTCGGGCGGCGGGGCAGGCGGCCGGGAGGGGGGTCTCGGGCCCCGGGCGGCCGGGAGGGGTCCCGTGCGCTGAGCCCCCCGCCCGCCCGCCCGCCCTCCTCCAGCATGGCCTCGCCGGCGCTGTGGACCGTGTTCCTGGGCAAGGTGTGGCAGAACTCGCGCTGGCCGGGCGAGGTGTCCTTCAAGGTGCGCCGCCTGCTGCTGCACCCCTACCACGAGGAGGACAGCCACGACTACGACGTGGCGCTGCTGCAGCTCGACCACGCCGTGGTGCGCTCGGCCACCGTGCGCCCCGTCTGCCTGCCCGCGCGCTCCCACTTCTTCGAGCCGGGCCTGCACTGCTGGATCACGGGCTGGGGCGCCCAGCGCGAGGGCGGTGAGGCCACAGCCGGGGTCCCGCCGGGGCCGGGCGAGGGGAGCCCGCGCCGTGCCCAGGCCGGCCAGTCCCGCCCTGGGGTTAGATCCGTCCGAGACCTGCAGTTACCTGGAGAGCGGTGTGGGGGGTGGAGGTGGTGTCCGGCCGTCCAGCGATTCTCATCTCCGGGACGCCTGGCTTGCTCACCTGCTCGGTGACCGCAGGCGGGGGTGGGGCAGTCCCATTTCCCACGTGGGGAAACTGAGGCTCGGAGCCCCTTAGTGCCTCGAGGTCCCACAGCCAGAGGAGGCTGAGCCAAGACCCCAGTCCAGGACTGCGGACTCCGGAGCTGGGTCTGTTGCTGCCACTCAGAAATGGGGCTTCCTCCACCTCCCTCATTACCCCACAAACCACAGACCCTGAGAAGGATCCAGAGAAGGACCCAGGAGGAGGCGGGCGCTAGGGGCCCCTGAGTGACCAGCAGACCCGTGGGGACAGGAGGGGGCTGCCCTGTCCCCCGGATCTGCTGATTCTGCCTTCTGCCCACCTCCCCCACCCCACCCCGCTGGGCAGGCCCCACCAGCGACGGGCTGCAGAAGGCGGACGTGGAGCTGGTTCCCCAGGACCTGTGCAGTGAGGCCTACCGCTACCAGGTGACACCCCGCATGCTGTGTGCCGGCTACCGCAAGGGCCACAAGGACGCCTGCCAGGTACGCTGGGGCGCTGCGCCCAGTTGACAGATGGGGAGGCCGAGGCCCCGCGGGGTGATGGGAAGGGACTCCCCCGCAGTGGGGTGGAATGGCTGGGTGGCTCTCAGGGCCCTGCCCCCCCTGAAGCCGCCTCCTCTTGCCCGGGGCCCAGGGAGACTCCGGGGGCCCGCTGGTGTGCAAGGAGCAGAGTGGCCGCTGGTTCCTGGCGGGGCTGGTCAGCTGGGGCCTGGGCTGCGGCCGCCCCAACTACTTCGGCGTCTACACTCGCATCACCGGGGTCATCGGCTGGATCCGGCAGGTGCTGACCTGAGGGGCTGCCCCCCCCACCAGCCTGTGGAGCTGGGCCCCGCCATCTCTCCATCTCTCGGACACACACAGCCTGGGCACCCACCTGGTGGCAGGGAGCAAGTATTTGGGGGGAGGTGGGATGCCAGGATCCTGTGGAGCTCGAAGCGGCACCCCAACCCGGCACCCCGACCGCCCTCCCTGCAGAGGCTCGGAGAGGAGGAGCGTTCAGCCTTGCATCCCCGGATCCTCCCCTCCCACTTTCTCCCCCGCTGACTTTGGGGGGCTGGGGGAGAATTACAGCGATCCTGTGGCTTCCGTGTCCTGGAGGGCAGCGGAGACGCCCCAAATCAGGCTGCCGGGCCAGCATCTGCTCCGGGTTCCAGGTCGCGGAGCGGGGGCCCGACGGGAGGGGTGGGTGGGGCACAGCCAAGTGGGCCAGCTGCCATCTTAGCCAAAGGGCCGGTGCCTGGGTCCCGCCCCCCCTCCCCGGAGGCCAGCGCTGCCTGTGGAATAAAAATGCCCTTGGACCAGGCCTCGCCCGCCTTGTCTGACTGGGGACCTGGAGACCTGCCTCACTCAGGCCACTGTGAGGCCTGGGACAAGTGACGGCCACCTTCTGGGGCTTTCCAAAGAAGCTGAGCAGGGTGGAGGGGGGCACTGGTGACACCAGGGAGCGTGTGGGGCGCCCCTGACTCCCTGCGTCGGCTGTCGGTCTCAGTCTTGGGCAGGGACTGTGCAGGGGACTGTGATAGAGACAAGAGGGAGCTCCTGGTCCCTGCCCTCGGCAGGGTGGCCTTGTAGACTCAAGGGTGAGGGGCACTGGGAGTGTGCCGCCAGAAACGGCAGGGAAGGCTGCCTGGAGGAGGTGAGGTGCTGAGGGACTCCCGGGTAGCCGAGGAGGCGTTCAGGCAGGGGAAGAGCATGTGCGAGAGCACAGAGTCCCCAAAGAACCCGGCATCTCGGGTACCAGAGACGCCCTGGCGTCACCGTATATGCTCAGATGGGGACAGCCCAGTTGCTGGACGCCCAGGTGACGGGCAGGGTGGCTCCGGAGCTCACGTCCACGGCCTGCTGAGATGATCAGGAGCCCCTGGGAGGTTCTGGAACTTGGGGACACGCTGAGATCAGATGGGGGCCCCAAATTCATGGGCGCTGGAGCGGGGGGGGGGGGATGCAGGGGTGCTGGGCTGAACTGTCCACGCTGTCCCCGAGTGCTCCGTGGATGGGGCTGGGGGCAGAATGGGGGAGTGACCCAGAGGCCCCACCCAGGGAAACAGGCCAGGTGACATCCAGTTGGGCCTTCGAGGCAGGGCGAGCTGCAGGGGGGCCTGAGGCCGCTGGAGGACCCCTTAGTGGGGAAGGCAGAGATGCTGCAGAGGGCTGGGGGCGTGGCCGGGAGGGCCCGGGGGCGTGGCCACCGATCAGCGGGCCTTGGGGGCGTGGCCGGGAGGGCCTCCAACCCAGGGGCGGCAGGAACCGATGTTCCAAGGCCTGGGGCCCCCTTTCCTTCACTTCCCAAGTCTGGGGTCCAGAGCGGCTCACCCGCCGGGCTCCGCGGGGCCGAGCATGGAGTGGCCGTGGAGACGCGGTTCTAATTCCCGTCCACCAGCTCGCCTCAGTCTTTCGTGGCTGTTGTTGTTTGGGGGCCCTGGGATGACCCGGGTTCGAGTTGTTCTAACAACTTCTGGTCGCTCCTGCAGGCCCAGCTGGGGTGGGCAGGGTGGGTGGGGGCAGGGCGCAGGGGGGGGCACTCCAGCGTTGTTCCCAGGGCTGGGGTAGAAGGTGGCCTGCCGGGCAGGTGACCTGGCAGGAAGTGTCTAAGTGTGTGTGTGTGTTGGGGGCTGCCTGGCTGGGGCAGAGGCTGCGGCCCCCACAGGTGCCCAGGAAACAAGTGGAAGGAGTGGACGTGGCTGGTGCTGGACCTCTGCACACATCTGAGCCAAGCACTCCCTTTCTGGAGGGGAAACTGAGGCCAAGAGAGAACAAGCACGGGCCAATGTGCCCTGCGCAGGCCCCCGGCCCTAGAGGCCTGGTGGCACCCGCCAGAGCAGAAGGGTGCCCGCACGCAGGGTGGCACAGCCCACAGAGCTGGGCCCCTGGACCCCCAGGTGGCCCCGAGAAAGACAGGGAGGCGGTGGGGGCGGGGCTGTTTCTTCGGGTTTTATTACACTGGGGTGGGGATCGGGACACAGCTGGGGAGTGAGCACCCACCGGGGGCACCTTAAACACAGCAGGGGCCCTGGCGCAGCCCCCATCACCCTGCACTGTCCCCTGGGCGGAGGGAGGGGTGTCCCCTTCTCTCGGCGTAAGTTCCTGAGTGACCCCAGTCCTTCCCCCCACCAATCTTCTTCACCCCCAGTTCCTGGGGCTAAGGGATGCCCCCTCCAGGGCGGGAAGAGAGGCGCCTGGTCCTTCGGACCCCCATCCCGAGCCGGCTTCTTTCCGCAGCCTCGCGACAACCCGGCCGGGGAGGTGTGGGAAGTGCTGGCCCATTTCACAGGTGGGGAGACTGAGACCGGGCTGGGAGGGAATGCATCTGCCATGCAGCCAGGGGTGGGGATGGAGGGGCCCCAAGAGACACAGCTGGCAGCCGGGCAGAGTGACATGTGGGCCACCAGCGGGCGGCCCTGCCTGGGTCCTGGGGCCCACATCGGGCCCCACGCGGCCCCCGCAGGCAGGTGCAGACAGAGGCAGGGGTGCGGGAGGGGCCCAGCCCATGATACAAAAATAAAGGATTTCAGATCGGAACCCCAAGTCCCTGGAGGTGATCTGGGGCCTCACATCCGGGTGCCTCTGGCTTGTAACAGCTAGAAAATAAGAGAGGGAGGGGGGAGGGGCAGAGGGCGAGGGGGGGGTGGGTGGTCAGAAAACCGGGAGGGAAATGAGGGGGGGCGGTGAGGAGGGGGGAGATGGGGGGGGCAGCAAGAGGAGATTGAAATGGAGGGAGGGAGGGGGGAGGGAGAGAGAGAGAGCAGGTGAGTCACCGGTCCCTGGGAGCAAGGGGGCAGCGGGCTGAGGCCCAGAGGAGGGAGATCAGAGCCAAGGAGGAGGGGAGCAGGCAGGGCCCCCCCACGCCCACCCTGGGCAGGGGGCAACGCCCGGGAGGCCGGGCTCTGCCAAGCCTTAGACAGGGCCGGGGATCGGGGCCCAGAGAGGCAAGTCGGCTGTCCCAGGCGCTGGCCTGGCCCCGGTTTCAGCTACAGGTGACCGGCTCAGAGAGGGGTAGCGATGGGCCCTGGGCCACAGAGCAGGCTGGAAAGATCCGGGGAGGGCGCAGCCCGGCCGGACCTTCCCCTGCCCGCCACCCCACCTCACGCTGGCCCCTGGTACACTTGGGGCACCGGAGGGCGGCTGGTCCGCCCCACCCAGCCCAGAGAGGAGAGGCGGAGGCGCCGAGGGGTCAGTCTCCTGCGCTCCTGGGGTGGGGGGGAGAGATGCCGCCCCTCGCCCTCCCTCTCCTCCCTCTCCTCCCGCCAAGAGCACCAGGGCCGAGAAACGGGGGAGCCGAGACCAGCCGCCGGCCGGCGCCGGGCTCAGGGGGCTCGGGGGCTCAGGGGCGGGGACCCGAGCTGGCCCCCTCCTGGCTCCCGCCCTCCCTCCAGCTCCGCCAAGCTACGAACCAGGGGTGGCAGCTCGGGGGGCGGGCGAGGGGCCGAGCAGCAGCCCTCAGTGCGCGCGTGGCCTCGGGTCTGCGAGGGGGCAGACGGGGACCTGCAAGGAGGAAAGGTGAGCGCCAGGCGGCCTCACCGGGGCCCAGCGGCGGGCACGGGCACGGCGCAGGGGCGCCCGCCCCCCGCCGCCTCCCGGGGCCGGGGGCCAGGCGGGGCGAGCGGGGGCGCGGGGGGCGGGGGGGGCGGGGGAGGCGGGGGCAGGCAGGGCGCGCGGGGGGGAGGCGGGGGGGCCGGGGCGCCCGGGGGACGGGCGCGGGGCGCGGGGCCCGGCGCGGCCCCGGGAGGGAGGCGCGAGGAGCAGGCGGTCAGGAAACCCGGGCAGGGGCAGAGGGGGAGGAGGCAGGGTGCAGAGGAGATCCAGGAGGAGGAGGAGGTGCATGGAGATGAAGCAGGACCTCCCGCGGGGAGCGGAGGAGGAGGAGGCGGTGGGAGGGAGGAAAGGTTAGCGGGATCCTGAGATGACCGGGCTGCAAAGAGAGAGCGAGAGGGGGGAGAGAGGGGGCGATGGTTATGCAGGGGAGGCGCCAGGCGGGGGCCCGCCCCCTGCAGCGCCCCGGCCCCCCCAGGCTCGGCAGCAGGCTGCAGCACGGGCTCCGGCTCTCGTGAGCAATCATTCTCCTGGGGGCTGGGGTGCACCTTTCTCCTGGGGCTCTGCCTCCACCTGCACCCGCTCCACCTCCACCTCCTCCTCCTCCTCCTCCTGCGGCTGCTCCTCCAGCGGCTGCTCGGTGCTCTGTGAACCGCCGGACCCAGGGAAGAAAGAGCGCACAGCTAACGGGCCCGCTGGGGCCGCTCCTCCAGCCCCCCCAGAGCAGAGGCAGGATCTGGGGCAAGCCACGGGGGAGAGGGGGTGCGCCCTGCTGCCGGCACCTCCGAGTCCTGATTCTGATGGGGCGTGTGCGGGGGAGCTGGGGCCCCTGCAGGGGCGCCTAAGGTGGCCTCCGGTGCGGAGGGCTGAGCCAGGGGAGGCGGCCGGGGGAGGCCCAGCGCCGTACCCCGGGATCTGGGGGGCCAGGAACTAGCTCTGGACCCCCAGATCCTGCAGCAGACACTGCAGGTTCACTCTGTCCCGGGGACAAGCAGGGTCTGCCGCGAGCACCCAGGGAAAATCACAGAATGGAGACGCGGACAAGACATAGAAGCAAAGGTCCAGGCAGCTGGAGGCTGCCAGGCCCCGCCCCCAACAGGCCCCTCCCACGGAGGCGGAGACTGCCTTAAGGTGGGCGGGCTGAAGGCGTCCAGGCCCATCCCCGGTAGGCCCCTCCCACGGGGGGCGGAGATTGCCTTAAGGCGAGAGGGCTGGAGGCTGCCAAGCCCCACCCCGGCAGGCCCCTCCCACGGGCGGAGACTGTTTTAAGGTCGGTGGGCTGGAGGCTCCCAGGCCCCACCCCCAACAGGCCCCTCCCACGGAGGCGGAGACTGCCTTAAGGTGGGCGGGCTGAAGGCTTCCAGGCCCATCCCCGGTAGGCCCCTCCCACGGGGGGCGGAGATTGCCTTAAGGCGAGAGGGCTGGAGGCTGCCAAGCCCCACCCCGGCAGGCCCCTCCCACGGGCGGAGACTGTTTTAAGGTCGGTGGGCTGGAGGCTCCCAGGCCCCACCCCCAACAGGCCCCTCCCACGGAGGCGGAGACTGCCTTAAGGTGGGCGGGCTGAAGGCTTCCAGGCCCATCCCCGGTAGGCCCCTCCCACGGGGGGCGGAGATTGCCTTAAGGCGAGAGGGCTGGAGGCTGCCAAGCCCCACCCCGGCAGGCCCCTCCCACGGGCGGAGACTGTTTTAAGGTCGGTGGGCTGGAGGCTCCCAGGCCCCACCCCCAACAGGCCCCTCCCGTGGGGACAAACTGCCTTAAGGTGCGCAGGCTGGAGTCCGCCAGGCCCCGCCCCCGGCAGGCCCCGCCCCCGGCAGGCCCCTCCTACAGGGGGCGGAGGCCGACTGAGGGTCCCGTGCGGGACAGGACACCGGACAGACCCCACCCGGCCCTTGGCGCCACTGCTGCAGAGAGCCTGACAAGAAGCGGGACCTAGAAGCTGGTGGGGACCTAGAAGCGGGACCTAGAAGTTGGCCTCTCTGTCCTGGAAAATGAACTGATGCCCCGGGCCCAGCAGCAAGGGCTGGGCAGTGCCCACCAAGGGGGGGGGATGAGTCCAAAGTGGCCACTCCCAGACCCCCCGGGCCACACGCCGCTGGCTACACACAGGCCACAGCAGCCCGTCCCCTCATCACAGCGCTCCCCAGCCTGGGCCTTGGTCAGTTGCGTGGGCAGACAGGACGCGGTGGCATGGGATGGATGGCGTGGGTGGTGACCGGTCACGTGGGCCGCGGGAGGGGAGGGAGCACAGCAGGAGGGTGCGGGGAGGGGGTCAGAGAGGCGGGGCTGGGGGCAGCTGGGGCCTCACCTTGGTCTTGCGGCTGGACTCAGAGCTGAGCCCGTGGGGGGCGCTGTACAGCTCCTTGGACACCACGCACAGGAACTCGGCCTGGTCCTCACTGCCGTAGTTGTAGGACGAGCCGATGTTCACCAGCTGCGGGGACAGGGGGGCCGTGGAGCCGCCGGCCTCAGCGGGCTCCCCCACCCCCACCCCGGCTGCGACTGTTTCCGGGTCCACCCCCGCTGGCCGGGTCAGGCCTGACCCCAGGAAAGGGGCAGGATCGCGGCTGCCTCCCCTGGAAGGCCTGTTTGGGCGAGGAAACTGAGACCCGGCCAGGTGCTCCAACGACTCAGGGTCTGTGCCTGCGGCTACACGACTCATTCCCGGCTGCCTTCCGCTCCCCTATGGGCGCCACCTGCCCACGTGGGCTCACTCAGTGGCAACGAGGGCTGGGGGGTGGGTGACCGTGTCACCAAGGATTCTGCCTCCTGCTGCACCCCAGGAGGGGCCTGGGGGAGCACGGCTTGGGGGTGTCACCTGCGCTCCCCCCCACCTGCCCATCCCAGCTCCCCATCCGGACAGTGTGGGAAAGCATGGCCCCACCCTGTCCCCTGGATGGCCGTCACCGTGCACCGGGGCGCCCACCTGCTCGAAGCGCCAACCGTCGGACATGGTGGACACCATCTGCGTGAGTTCCTCCTCCTGGCACTGCAGCACCCGGTACACGTGCTTGGGTGGCACCTGCAGACAGAGGGGCCCCGTGGTGGGCGCCTGGACGGGCCCTGCCATCCTCCCGTCGACTCCCATCCGGGGGGGGCGGGGGGGGGGGTTGGGCTAGGGGCTGCAGTGGGGCCCGGACAGTGGGGCCCGGAGCTGCACGCACAGGCGTGCAATGTCACCAAAGCACAAGTCCCGGGATGGGCCCCGAGACCCCGGGGGCCCCAGCGAGAGTCACAGTCGGGGTCCAGGGGACTCAGAGGCCGGAGCACATGCAGGGCCGAGTCCCAGCCTGGCAGCCCCCAACCCCCCAGCACCAGGAGCCCCAAGAAACTTCATGTCACCTGTTGGCCACCCCCCACCCTGCACCGTCCAGTCCATCTGGGTACCGCCAAGAGTGGCCCTGGACCCTCCAGAGAACCCCCACCCCAAGAGAGTGGTGGAGCCAGGACCAGCAGGCAGGTGAGAACTGGGGGCCGGGCAGGGTACCCTTGCTCTGGTCAGACCCTCCGGGTCCCCTCCCCAACCAGCCCCTCGCTTAGAAATGCCCACTCACCCTCATCAGAGGGTCCGCCCCGGCCCACCCCATGGCCAGTTGTAACCTGGCCCCTGACACCGGCCCCCTCTGGCCTGTGAAGAAGAGACCAGGGGGTGGGGGCAGGCTGGGAGCCCCTGGTCCAGAAGAGGGCCCCGAGGTGCAGAGAGGGTGACGGGGCTGGGGTCACAGGGCCAGCGGGCAGGGCAGGGCAAGGGCGAGCCGGGCCTGGCCCAGGAAACGCGCCTCTGCCCGCCCTATGGGCCCTTCCCTCCTTGGGTGGGCAATGTCCCCGCGCGGCGGGCACCCACCTGGGTCACGGTGTAGTCCTTCTCCTCCAGCCGGTCCTTGATGAGGCGGATCAGCGGGCCAATGTTGTAGAACTCAGCCTCCTCCAGGACCCCTGGGCGACAGTCCCTGTCACACCATGCCCACTGCCCCCCAAGCCCACCCGGCCACTAACTTGGGGGGGAGGGGCTACTCTAGCCACTGACAGGCACGAGCCTGGGCCCCATCCAGGGTCCATCCCTGCTGCCGCGGGCTGGTTAAAGGCCCCTTTGGGGGGCCATCAATTCTCAGCATTAGAAGTACATACTGGGGCTGGAGCGATAGCACAGCGGGAGGGCATTTGCCTAGCACGTGGCTGACCCGGGTTCGATTCCCAGCATGTCATAGAGTCTCCTGAGCACCACCACAAGTAATTCCTGAGTGCATGAGCCAGGAGTAATCCCTGAGCATCGCCGGTGTGACCCAAATAAGCACCAAAAAAAAAAAAAAAAAAAAAAAAGCAAGCAGTGTGTACTTCCGGCACCCCAGTGGCAAAGAGAAGAACTGAGGCTGGGGGCAGCCGCTCACCCAAGCTCACGAGCTGAGGCTCCCCACCAGGACCTCTGACCATGGGGTACCACAGTGCCCTCCCGGGCAGCTGCCCAGCCCAGAGGCTGACAAAGCCCCGCAAGTTCTCATCACTGAGCCGGGGGCAGGGGACACAGGCAGGACTGTCGCCACGTCCTCGGGAGAACAGAAACTCAGTGGCTGAGCAAAACAGCCTTGAGCCCCGGGATACCTAGAGCTTCTGCTGGGCAGGGCGCCCTCCTTGCCAGGGCTGCCCCCGGGCTCGAGAGTCTGGGTCCTGTCCCCCAGTGCCCTGCGGCCACCCCACCCTGAATGCTGCCCCCACGGGCACCGAGGCAGGCAGCAGGCAGGGCTGGGAGACACAGCCCGTATAAGACATGAGCAGAGGGGTGCATGCCGTGGGGATCCCCAATCCCGCCTTTCCCCGAGGGGCCCCCCGAGCCCCGGCCGACGGTGTCGGTAAACAGGTGTGGGCTGTGACGCAGTGCCAGCCGCCGGCCCACCTCTGGGACTGTCTCGGGCCTGGCCCGTGCCCTGGAGTCTGGTTCCCCAGGGACGAGATGGGGGGGCCCATAGAGGGGACGGGGACAGGCCTTGATCCCACTGCGGGGCCTCAGGGAGCCTCTGGGCTGCTGCGGAGCTGGAGGGGGGCTCAGGACGGGGAGCACTGAGCGGTGCGAGGCGCCCGCGGGGGCTGAGACTCGGGGCTCCTCACATCTGCCCCCTACGGCCCACCACCTCCTCCCGCGGTGGGAATTGGAGACTTGAGACGGGACCGAGGGAGGCCTGGGGGTCCCAGAGTCACCCGGGGGATGGCCCAGTTTGGCCCGAGCACCCGGCTGCGGTCTCTGCGGGGTACCTGTAGACCGTGGCCCCCCACTCAAGAGCAAGGCCCCCTCCTGGCTACCTCCACCCACACTGGCAGGGCGCTGCCTAGGCTGCCAGATTCGGGGAGGGAGTGCCCGGCCGCACCTACAGCTGATGCCAACTGTCCCTGCAGCGGCATCTACACCACAGCCCAGCCCCTCCCCCACGGGTTCCCACCCTTGGTGCGATGCAGGAGAAGCATCCCCACCCCACACTGCCCGCCACCCCCTGCCCCGTGTCCCGGCCACAGCATCTGCCTGGCCAAGCCTTGAGGTCCAGCCCGAGCAGGAGCTGCGTGAGCAAAGGAGGGGGCTCTGGGCTCCCCCCAAAACGTCTTGGCAGGCTGCGGGGGCCCCCACAATCCCCCTGCCCCCTAGCCGGGCTGACGCACCCTCTTCCGCCATGTCCTTGTCCAACACCAGCTTGCCATGCCGCAGGAAGTTCAGGATGGGCCCGAAGTAGGTGGGGTCGCGGTCAATGAGGTAGGCCCCGGTCTCGTCCTGCGGGAGCGGGGGGGACAGAGTGAAGCCCCGCCACCCCCCTCGCTTCCCACCTGGGAGAGGAACTGGAGGGGGGGGGCCGGAACCAAGAGGCTCCATGGAACAAAGACACTCCGGGCGGGGAGGAAGATGCCGGGGTGAGGGAGTATGAGCGCCCCACCTCGGTCCCAGGGGCCCCGAGAATCACCAGGGGAAGCCCTGGTGTCTGCCCTGCACCCCAGTCATGGGGCAACACCCCATTCACAGTCCTGGCACCGAACACCCCCCCAGATCTGCAACCTCCGACCCTCCTGGCCCCTCCAGTGAAAAGGTTTCTGGGTCCGACACCCTCGGGTCCAAATCCTGCCTCTTCTGCTGACATTGAGCAGGGGGGGAACCAATGTGTGGGTCTCCCCAAGTCCTGCTCGTAACCCCAACATAGCCAGGAGGCGACCGGCAGGAGGAGGGGGCAGGGAATGTCCCTTTCCAAGCACCCAGCAAGCAGTGGGTCCCGGGGTCTCTGCTGGCGGAGGCGTCCGGGCTTTCTGGGGATGTTTACAAGTTTCCGGAGGCCCAGGCGGGCCCGGGAGGTGAGGGGACCTGCCCAAGGTCACAGCGCCGGGGAGTCGCGGCAAAGGGGAGTAGGAGGGAGGTCACCTCCAGGCCAGCCCCCACGGATGACAGGTGGGGAGCCGGGGGTCGCGGGGGGGGGGTTCTGAGCCAAGGTCACGCAAGCCACCTGCAACACAGCCGGGGAGCCCAGAAACTGCGCCCGCGGGGCAAGCACCCCGGGGCGTCTCGCCCAGGTCCCCGCGCCCCTCCGCCGCCCACCACCCCCCCGGAGAGAGGGGAGAAGGGGCCTCTGCACCCCCTCGCGTGGGGAGAACGGGCCTCTGCACCCCCGCTCCCTGGGTCTTTTTGGGGGGAGGAAGGCCGACGGGTCTGCAGCGCTCGCTCCAGCCCCCCGAAGAGGGAAGAGGGTCCGCGTGCAGCGCGCGGCCAGGGTGGGCGCCCCGCGCAGCGCTTCGAGGCGCCCGGGGGGGGGGCTCGGCCCGGCGTGCTCCAGTTGCCACGGCGACGGGCACATCCTCCGTCCCGGCCACTTCCTCCCTCCCCGCGGCGGGCGGCCCCTCTGCCTGCCCGCCTCCGGCTCTTGGCAAACCCAGCGCGCGGGACCCCTTGGGCCCCGGGCGGGCGCGGCCGGACAATCCGGGGGGGCGCTGGGCCCGCGGAGCCCACCCGAGCCACGGCCGCCCACCCCGCGGGCCTCACCCGGTCCGACTGCAGCTCTTCGCCCTGGCACAGGCGGCTGAGGAAGGACTTCTGCTCGCGGCACAGCGTCTGCCGGGTGGTCAGGAACACCGTGCCCCCCACGTTGAGCCGCACCCACTTGCCCCAGCCGCCCGCGGCGCGGCCCCCCGCCCCCGCCGGCGGCGCTGCCTCCCCGGCCTCCATCCTCATCGCTCGCCGCGGCGACTGCATCCCTTCGGGCGCGCCGGCTGCAGGCGGGCGGGGCGCGCGCGCGGGGGCTGCCGGGAGTCGTAGTCCGCCCCGACGCGCGCCCGCATCTCCCCAGCACTCCAGCCGCAGGCAAACAGGGCCCTCGCGCAGGGGCTGCCGGGAGTCGTAGTCCGCCCCGACGCGCGCCCGCATCTCCCGAGCGCTCCAGCTGCAGGCAAGCAGGCAGGGCCCGCGCGCAGGGGCTGCCGGGAGTTGTAGTTCGCCCCCGTCGCGCGCCCGCATCTCCCCAGCGCTCCAGCTGCAGGCAAGCAGGGCCCGCGCGCGGGGGCTGCCGGGAGTTGTAGTCCGGGCCTCGGCCACGGGCGCGTGTGCTGGCTAGCATTCTGACCCAGTGTCCCGGCTGGCCTCGTTTCTGCCTGCCTCCGCCTGCAATGGGCAAGGTCAAGTTCGCGGTCTAGGGGAAACTAGAGATAGCCACAACCCGTCATCCTGCTGCCCCTTGGTTCTTTGTGACCCTCCCACCCTGTGTCCGGACCCGGCTTATCAAACTCCGGGGACGGAAAGCAACGTTTTTCCCCTGGAATTCCGCGGCGTTTGCCCCCTGTATCTATTTTCTTACATTCTTTTCATTCTGTCCTCCACGCGATGAAGGCGCGTGAAAGGAGGGGGCAGTTTTCTCTCCCGGATGACAGGGAGGTTGCACTGAGAAGCTGCTCTTTCCGAGGTGCTCAGGGCACCTCTTGTGTGATGACACTTGGCCACCCTCGGTACTGTGCCCATTATACAGACAAACACACAAGAGCTTCGTGTTCTCGGGGGCTCATGGGAGTGAGGAGTGAGTGGGCAGCCCAGATGGGTTCTAAGTGCATTTCCAACCTCACCCCCTTCGGTGTACCGACGCACACCCTTGGGGCTTCAGGGCTCCTTGGGACAGATTGTAGTGCGTGGAGCGGACCCTGGACCAAAGGTGGAGGTGAGAGGGATGGGGCTGGTGTTTGCAAGATGAGGTGTGGGGAGAGGCGCCAGTGGTCCCATCTGTCTTTTGGGAGGGGGTGGAGGATTGGTTCTGAGGAGCCCCTCCTAGATGGGGGTGGGGCGGGGTGGGGTGGGTGCTACCCGGGCTCAGGAGCAGGAAGGAATCAGGGCTGGGGAGGAAGGAAGCGCGATTTCTCAACTTCCTCTCCTCCCTGGGCCTGGATTAAAGTGGCCCCTTTCCCCCTCCCCCACCCTCCCACCCTTGCTCAGGGGCCACGCTCTCAGACTCCCCACCCCCAAGCAGAGGAAAGGTTCTTTCCCCGGGGACAGGAAACGGGCGACATCGCTGGATGCCGGCTCCTGGAACTCAGCCCCCGGAGCGACTTCTGCTCTGAACCTCAGTGCGCTGGTTGGCGAAATGGGGCTGATGCCAGTTGCTTGCCTGCGAGCGAGTCTGGGCGGGGGCCTGCCGGGGTCCTGAACGGAAGAATGAGTGACCTCCATGTGGGCTGGCTTTGACGTCTGCAGCTCTCCTAGCACCTGATTCATTCTCTGCCCTTATTGGTGGGAAAAAAAAAAAAAAAACACAAAATGAACCGGATCTAGTGCTTTCCCCGTCTAAGGACTGCAGGCAGGGATGGGTGGGATTTGCAGCCTGGACCCCTCTGGAGGCCCCCAGACTGGGTGATGGGGGGGGTGGTTTGGAGCCCCAGGTGGCTAGCTGGTGAGCCTCCCGGGTCAGGAGTGGGAGCAGCCGAAACCGAAGCAGCGTCAAACCAGGACCGAGCAGGAGCGGAGGGTTCCCGGGCCTGCAGGAGGTAGATGGATGCAGGACTTGGCTCAGGTGGGATGGGAAGGAAGAAGGAGCCGCGCAGGTGGCCCGGGTTTCGGGCTTCGGCCAAGATGAGAGGGCTCCCCAAAGCAGGAGAGGCCGCAGGTGCAGGAGGAAAGCAGGATCTGGGGCGCCGAGAGGCTGCTGAGAAGGCCAGGTGATGCTTGGTACCTGGACGCCTTCCCAGCGCCTGGCTGAAGGAAGCCTCGCGAGAATCGACGAGGCCTCGCGAGACTGGCCTGGGTGGGTGCGGGCTGTCCTGCAGCTGGGTGCGCGGTGCCTGCGTCCGCTGGTGCACATCTGGGCCCAAGCAGCCCCTTCCTGCCAAGGGTCTGGTCCAAATCACCCAGCGCCCCGAGCGGAGCAGCTGCCGTTTCCTGGGGCTAAAACCCCAAGACAGACAGAAACAGAGACACAGAGACAGAGAGATAGAGAGAGAGAGAGAGAGAGAGAGAGAGAGAACACCCCCTCCACACCCCCTCCACTTGTCACCTGACACAGCCCCGCTGTCCTGCGCTGAACCTTCTCGGCAGCCCCCACAGCTGTGCCTTCCACTGCTGCAGAGAGCTCGTCTCTGCGGAGCTTTTTTTGGATTCAGTTCTCCTCTTCCCCAGGTTCAGAAAGCCGGTTACATTCTGATGAGAATCGACTCCGAAAAAAAGGGGCGGGGGAGGGGAGAGTGCTTAGGGACCACTTTTGGTGACACTTGTCAAACAGGCAGGTGGTTGCTGTGGAGGTGCTATTTGGATCCTGCAATGCAGAGGGCTTCAGCATTACATCTGGTGATGATTCTGGGGGCATGCAGTGCCAGGGATAGAACGTAGGGCCTGCACACTTTAGGCATACCCCCTGGATCCTGTGCTATCTCCCCATCCCCTTGACTTTTTTTTGGGGGGGTGGGGGGGGTGGTTACACACCCACCGGTTCTCAGGACTTACTCCTGGCTCTGTGCTCAGGGAACACTCCAGGTAGTGCTCGGGGGACCATATAGCTGGGGGTTGAACCCGGGTTGGCCGCATGCAAGGCAAGGGCCTTACCCGTTGTACTACTAAGCCCCTTGACTCTTTGGGGGTAGGGGCACTCCCAGTCGTGCCCTGGGACCATACTATGCCAGGGATTGTAGCCAGGTCTCTTGCATGCCAGGCCTGTGTGTCAGCCCTGGGAGGTCTCCCAGACCCACGGCAATCTGCATGACGTTTGGTTGTTCTGTGCCCCCAATCCCGTCTCATCGCTGTCTTGGCTTTCAGCTCAGCCTCTGAACCTGGGAGAAATAGACCCCATCCTAGGTCACCTTCAGAGAGAGATAGGGCAGTGGTCCCTGACTAGCCAGCCAGGAACACCAGCGGCCTCCAGAGGCCCATGTCCAGGGGTAGAGTCTCTGCTTCCCCACTCTCTGCATGCCCCCACCAGCTGTGAGACATCTGGCTCGTTATAAAAACATCTCAACCCTCATCGCTGGTACACTGACTTCATATTGCAGCTTCTACTGCTCAGGGCTGTCTGTGTGGTAAATATCGACTCTTATTCCCAAGCACCTCCCATGTGTGAGACTCTGGCTAGACCTATCGTGCTCGTCCAGGCCCATCCTGGTGTCTGCTGAACAGATGCGGCTGGCTTGGGTCCTGGAAAACTGGTCTGACTTAGACGTTTATAGCTCTAAGACAATGACTAGAGCTTTTGCCTTGACCTTACTCTCCATTTCTTTTTTTTTTCCTTTTTGGGTCACACCCGGCGATGCACAGGGGTCACTCCTGGCTCATGCACTCAGGAATCACCCCTGGCGGTGCTCAGGGGACCATATGGGAGGTTGGGAATCGAACCTGGGTCGGCTGCGTGCAAGGCAAACACCCTCCCCGCTGTGCTATCACTCCAGCTTCGACCTTACTCTCCATTTCAACCAACATTCCCCAGGGATGCCCCAAGTGCTGGGTTTTGCGATTTTAGAAATGATTAGGACTTGAACCGTGCGTGTGCGTGCATGTGTGTGCGTGTGTGCATGCGTGTGTGTATGTGGTGTGTGTGTGTGTGTGTGTGTGTGTGTGTGTGTGTGTGTGTCTTCCATCCGCTTCACCAGCAGGGGGCGCATCAGCCTGCCGTCTTCCTGGGCTGGACCAATCTCTGCACAGCCTCTCTGGCTCACTGTGTGCTTCAGATGTTTGGCTCCTGGTGATGGAGCTCTTGGTGGTGTCGTCCAGGGACCTCACGCTTCCCAGCAGACGTCCCTGTGGCCCCTGTGATGTCATTTAGGAATCTAGTGCCGGCGCACTGGGGCCCCAGGGACGTTTATGAGCATTTCCATGGCCCAGCTCGGCCACTGCACCTCAGGCACCTCACAGGACTCTGGCTTTAGTCCCCTCCCCACGGGAGAGGCGATGCCGTCTGGTTGGTTGCACGGCAAGTGCCCTACCCATTGTGCCATCTCTCTGGCCCTCTTCTTCATTTATAGCAGATGAATTACTGGATTCTTATCGTATCCTTTGGGCCATATTGTTATTATTATTATGAACGCTGTGTTTAAAACATCTCAAATTTGATCCATGGAAACTCCTCTAAGCTGGCTCTTACATCCTTTAAAAAAAAAAAACAGATTCTCAGGGCTGGAGCCATAGCACAGTGGGTAAGCAGGCAGGGCACTTACCTTGCATGTGACACACCTGGTTTCATTCCCCGGAACTTCATATGATCCCCAAAGTCCCACTGGGTGTGACCCCTGAGCACAGAACCTGGAGTAAGTCCTGAGAACCATCGGGTGGAGTCCCAAACTCAACCACAAAAATAATAAGCTCTTGGGGCTGGAGCAATAGCACAGCAGGTAGGGCGTTTGCTTTGCACGCGGCCGACCCGGGTTCGATTCCCAGCATCCCATAGGGTCCCCTGAGCACCGCCAGGGGTAATTCCTGAGTTCAGAGCCAGAAGTAACCCCTGTGCATTGCCGGGTGTGACCCAAAAAGCAAAAAAAAGTTCTTACATAAAACTATTCCTCCCCACCCACCCCACCCCCCATTTTTGGGTCATACTCTGGTGCTCAAGGTTTGTCCTTGGCTCTGATCTCAGGATCCCTCCTGGGTGGGGCTTGGGGGGACCCTATGGGGAGCGCGGGATCAAACCTGGGTCAGCCCTCCACGTTGTTTTCTCTCTCTCTCTGGCCCTTGAAGTTCTTCATGGATCATACGGGGCCAGGGATTAAACCAAGCCTCCTGCATAACTTGCATGCACTCAGTCTATTGAATAATCTTGA